CATGCCCCAGAGCGCATCATAAAACTTAATAAATCGGGATGTATTTAGGCGTAATCGCACAACTACCCATCAGGACTCTCCTGCCTAGAGGCTTGGATATCACAACTTCAGTCCGATTTTCAAAGAGCTACCAAACTCATTGCTGCGACGACAGAAACGCCGGATGTGGACCGGCATCTGCTGCATCTATGGGATGCCCAAAGAGGCTTGACACGGGGGTGGCGGCAACAGAAACATAACCGAAAACTTCGTCTCCGAATCGCCCAACTAGCTACTGAGGCACATGACAATGCGAACATCCTCACTAGCAACAATTGGCATAACTTCTGCGATCGACTCAACGGCTCACTAAGTACACCTCGAACGTGGCGTATACTCCATGCTCTCTTAAATCCCACACAGACAAAATCACACTCTGCTAACGCAATCCGCACCATTCTCCACAAATCAGGGCTCGGCGATACCACTCTGCTGCACACCTCAAAGCAACACAATGTATCCACGGGCCCCCGTCCCGCCTACCGCGATTATCCACACGTACACAATACGCCTCTAGATGAGGACATTACAGAAGCAGAGGTTAGGGCAGCTTTGCAAAGCATTAAGCGTAACACAGCACCCGGTACAAACGGAATTACGTACACACTTTTGCGTAACTTAAATGACCAGTTCATCGAATATATAACCGCTTTTTACAACGAACATTGGAACAACGGCACGCTACCACAGGAGTAGCGACACGCAGAAATCATACTTATTCCAAAGCCTGGCAAGCCACTATCCTCCAGAATCTTCGCCTTATATCCTTAACCTCATCTGTAGCTAAACTCTTTTGAACGCGTTGTCCTCTCTCGACTACAACCATTTCTCGAAGACAATCACTTTTTTCCTGATATACTATTCGGCTACCGTCCTGGTATCTCTACACAGGACATATTACTACACATGACTCCCCTGTCACTATTGTAACAGATCCACAAGCTGCTTGCCGTGCTTTCGCTGAAAGACTTGTGGCTGCACATACACACAATATCCTCTCTTCTGTCTCACCATCCGCATTACATTCTGTGCGTATCGTCTGGACTCCTGGACACACCTCTCTCCATGGTAATGAACGCGTTCATGCGGTTGCCCGAGAGCTGACCGGCCGGGCTCCATCGAAAGAACTGTCTAATCCAGACGACGCATCGATAGAACCACTAAACTACAACGCTACGCTGGAGTACTACCGACAGAGCCGTTATACGTATCCTACCCCTCATCCTTCACTCAACAGAGCAGATGCTGTCACTTGGCGGCAACTACAGACCAATTAATTTCCTTGCCTTTGTATGCTAAATCGCTTTCATCTGACTCTCTACCCCTCCTACTGCCCCTTCTGTGGATCCGTACCAATGGTGTACCACTCCACGTTGGATTGCTCTGCCCCACAGGGCGTTCCTCCCATTCCCAACCCCACCCCTTCTTCTTGGGAGTCTGCACTGCTCAGCTTACGCCGATAGGAACAGCAGCAGCTGGTCCAGCGGGCTCGCAGGGTAGCGCAAGGCAATGGAGCCCTGGACTGAGGGCCCCACCCAAAGAACGCTCAGTGTGCATTTGTTATTAATAAAAGTTTATTCTCTCTCTTGTCAGATAGTGCTCAATGTACATGCCAATGGATACTAATGGGGATCGCAGTGTGGGCGTTAACTAAAAGCCAAATGCTCCTGTTTCTCATTCCCCATTAGCAGCCATTGGCATGTACATTGAGCACTATTGTTTATTGTTGAACAATGCACAGAAGAAATCTCTCACCGGCACCACCTTGGAGGTCAAAATGTTATACTTGTTACATACTACAGCGGCTATGAGGGACGAACGGGTGCCGCTATAAGGAGCTTCGCCCCTAAAAGGGTTGATTGGCCGGCTGTGACACGGGTCACATGACTTGCTTGGCCACGCTAGGTCAGCTAGAGAAAAGCAGGCATGGTTTTTCTGTAGCCAGTGGCATGTACAGGAAACCTCTGCTGCGTCACAGGTCTGACTGCCACCTTGCACAGTTGCTTCGCAGCCGCTGGGGACTGAGGGTCAAGGGTTTAATTGCTGTACTCAATGGAGGTAGTGGTCAAGTACTCAACCAGGGTGGCCAATCCTGCTATGGTGAGGGAGCGCATTACTGGCAGCTACTCAGTCGCCAGTGAGGCTGCACCCCAGACCTTTTTCTGCCTTCTTTCTTAAAGTGATTTCTTCGTCATGCGTTTTAAGTAAACAACGTACGATTGGGAATGGTCCGGCATAGGCAATTGAACCGAATTTTGTCGGTGTATGCTGGGCTGCTACACCATCTTCAGCTTCCAATCATTTTGTTTCAGCAGCTACGTCATTACGGGGAGAGCTGCTGACATCACTTACGCTCGAAAATTCAGATGCCGACAAAGCCGAACAGGTGGCAGTGGCCATCGCCATAGCCACTACGAACCGCTCTACTATTTACACGGACTTGCGAGCCGCCACCAGAACATATATGAAAGGCTCGGTGTGCAAAGAAGCCGCGCGCGTTCTCTCTGCTGCATCTTGGACAGGCAAAAAGCATATAATTTGGTTCCCTGGTCATGTGGGCAGTGATACTCATGAAACCATCCCAAACGCCAACGAACTTGCACACTCCCAGGCGCGAGGTTTTACACACCGCGCCGTAAGTGGGCACTCGGAGGCTGAGGGAGGCCAGTGGCAAAGGGACCCTCATCTCACTTTTAACGAGGTCTGTAAGCACTATCAGCTGGTGCGTCGGAAGTTTCCGCATCCACACCCACATCTAAATAGACCACAGGCAATCACCCTGGGAATTTTACAAACAAACACGTATTCATGTCAGTTTATTTGGTGGAAATTCATAGAGGGAATAGACCCACGCTGTCCGCGCTGTGGTCATCCGAGGTGCACCCTCCAGCACATGCTGTGGCAGTGTCACGACTTGCACAGGGGCTCAGGGTCTCCCTCCACTGAGGAAGACTGGCTCCAGCTTGTCACCAGCTCTGCAAAGGACCAGCAGCTAAGGGCAGTCCAAAAAGCTCGCGAAGTCGCCGAGAGGTTTAACCTCCCGGCGCCATTGTGGGTGGGGCCCACAGACAGTACCCCCTGATGGGGGCTTTCTCGTCTTCTCAGGACCAAATAAAGTTTCTTGACTGACTGACTGACTGACTGCACTATCTTCAAGTAGCGGGCTTTGGTGCACTTTCTTAGCACTGTTGAATACCACCTGGCCGCCTATCAGTTCTCAACTTCGCATAACTCATAGTTTGACTGTTTGGAACTCCATATTTGAATTTAAAAAAAGAATACACACACACATAGGCGAGATTCGAACTTGTGACCTTGCAAGCTTAGGCCACCTTAGTGCTCTGGATGACCCTCCTTCTCGCGTGTTTATCCTCTTCTAACTTCTTGTCTCGCTCAATTTGGGCATTGTTGGCTTCAAAGTGTCCACAGTGTCATAGTGTTGCTGATTTCGAGGGGCTGCATTGCTATGGCATTTCCTGTCGACTGATGAGTTGCGCGCTCCTGTTTTTGGAACTAATTGGCTACTTCTATATGATTGTTACATTGAGTGTATACGTCGGGGGCAGTTGGAGTGCATGAAAAGTAAAGGCGAAAAATTTCTAACTGCTAATGAATAGACTGGCACTGCCTTTAAGGCTGTCTCATATTATTTTGCATCTTGTTGTAGTTAATAAAACTCTGGTAAATAGATATAATAGTAGACAGTGGTTCTCAGTATGGAGTCAGATATTCGTACTGTACCGGTGCACATCGGCATCAGCTCTGTGCCAGTGAGAAAAAGGATGACGATGTTCGTGTCTTCTGTGCTGCAGCTGTCTTGCTTGCCTTCGCGCATCTCTTGCTGAAGCTCTTTCGATGAACATGCTTGTTACAGTACTAGTAATTACATCTATGGCTAGTCTAATAATATATAATTGTGGATGAAAAGGTAAGGAGAAAATTATTTCTAGTTAGAGAGAGCGGCGAAAGGCAAGGAACTCCGCACAAAAGTAATGACATACTTGCATCACTCACTGTAAGGGTCAGGTTGAATCGATAGACCCTGACGACTCTCAGCACAACACACATACACAATGATACGTCCACTTGACACATTCAGCTAAAGGTTCAGGTAAAGCTCGACAAAACGGGACCCAAAGGAAAAACAGAATGATCAAGGACCTTTGCATGTTATACCATACGTACATAAGGTATCTAACAATTCAAAGAAAATTGGAACCAGACATGATATCAGTTTGTTGTTTTCCACCCCTTGGAAGCTTTCAAAAGTTTGTGTGCTAGCAACAGGATTAGTCAATCATGCAATGCTTGTCACGAGATTAGGTTGACAGTATGCGATTCTGATGTTGTGTATGAGGTACCACCATTGACATGTGGAAAGATACACATGGGACAAACTGGGTAATGCTTCAATGACCTGGCAAGACAGCATGCTTGCAATGTTAAGGATAGCCGCATGGTTTTACACTGCAAAGATTGCAAGTGCAGTCCCCTGTTCCACAAAATATGGGTTTTGAAGATATCAAGAACAGAAAATGAAAGAGAGATTATAGAAGCATTGTTGATCAGGAAAGCTGCGGATCGATGCATCAGCAGTGCGCCTTCCTTTATTTTTTCCGAGAGAGAGTGTTCTTTTCTGTGTTAAAAATATTTTTGATGGTCACCCATGTGTTGTTTCGCATGAGCATTGTTTTTGCACTCTGTATAAAAGTGGTCGTAGCACCTTCAGTAAATTCAGTTGACAACCAGCGCTCTTTCTTGCCCATAATGTCTCTTCGTACTGTTGTTGCAATATTGCTAATATATAACTTACAACAAAGATGTTGTCATTTCTAGAGATAACAACTTGCTCAACAAGAAGTTTCCTTAATCAAAAGTTAGTGGGTGTTTTTTTTTCTTTAGAGAACTTTTTTCTGTATAAAGACTCTGTTGACATTGTTCCCCCCCCCCCCCCCTTCCAGCATGGAGCCCAGTGCGTCTGGTGGTCGAGAACTGCATGAACTGGAGGAAGCCCAGCAGACCGTGTACATGCGTGGCCGCTGGGTTCAACTGGCACCTACCGAGGGGTGCTATAACCTGGTCGGCGTGCGCCTGCCTACCAGTGGAGACTACTCGCAGTACTGCCACTGGTGTACGTTTGTCTGTCTTTTTGGCAGTGACAGAAAAAGATCTTAGCCCATTTACTCACGTAGTGATCTTGCTTCACTTTTTTTTTTTTTTCTGGAAGGTGTCACAAACTTGAGGCTGCTATTTTTACAGGGGGTACAACTTTGGGAGCCCTTGCCTTATCAGAAGAATGGGGCCGCAAAACTTGGCATGCTGATTCCACCCAAAAACAATGTTTTAGGGATGGCCAATACCTATAATAAAACTAAATGCTTACGTGGAGGCTCAAAATTAATAGTGTGTGTAAAACTAAATGCTTAGAGAAAAAAGCATGGCGTAGTGCAACAGAACATAAAAGAAGCAGTATGTAATGCACACTCATGCCAAGCTTCGCTTGTCCCTATTACCAGGGTAGGGAAAGGGCTCCTGATTGTTTGGTTAATCTGAGCTCCCAGTGTGAAAAGACAGCACAAGGGATGAAATGGGACACAATGCTACTCAATTTTTTCAACTTTCAACTGATATCTTTATCACGTGGAAGGGCGTCCACAGTATTTCCAATTGTTTCATGAATATGGTAAAGTCTTGATAAGGGGAAATCGCGTAAAAGGAATCGCTGCTTAACTGCTTCTAATGTGGTTGATTTCACACTTGAACTCAGCATCCCTATTCACCCCTGAGTAAGTACAAGGAAGATATATTTTTGGTCACATTAGGTTTTGTCAAAAGTTAGGTGTAATCCTATAGACAGGATTCTAATGTATGAATTAATGTTTCCTTAGTGTACAAAGGCAATAGATGAAAGGAGGCAGGAGATTGCCCTACTCTTTCATGAACAATTCTTAGCATCATTATACGTGCATACTATTGCATTATGACACTTTTTTTCCACGATTTATCACGTGCTTGGTGGACCACTGTCGGGTGAAACTGCAGTGCAGGGGGTTCTCAAGTGTGTTGTGGTACAGCCTTTGCCTGCAGGCAGTGGATGTTGCACTGCATTGTATTCTAGTTTAATGAACCAGGGTTTCTTGACAGCTCGACGTTAGAGCCTTCTCGGCAGCATTATTGGAAAATCAGTATGGCGCAGCACTCCTCGTGCTGAGTCGAGGAGCATCATTGTCTGGCCATTGTTTGTAACGTAAGCCTTACGCAGACCCACCTCTTTAACATGAGGGTGACTAATGTACAGTGCTCACAGATTGAGCCAGCACTGCTGCAGTGCTTTAGTGGGTAAGGTACTCGACTGCTGACCCGCAGGTCGCTGGATTGTATTCCAGCTGCGGCGACTGCATTTGCGATGGTGGCAAAATTGCCGTAGGCCCGTGTGGTCAGATATGCGTGCACGTTAAAGAACCCTAGGAGGTCGAAAGTTCCAGAGACATTCACTACGACGTCTCTCATGGTCATATAGTGGTCTTGGGACATGAAGCTCCACATATAAATCAATGAATCCCAGATAGAGCCATAAAACCAGAAGATTTAGTATTATAATGAATATCGTGTGTAAAGAAAAAAAGAGGGAATTTTCAAGTTCTCATTTTTCTTTTTTATGAACACAATATTAAAGATAGCTAACAGACAATGATAGTAAAGAAAATATACAGGATGGTATTTACAGTAAAAGATAACTTTCTATTGGCTGGGATTAAACCTGCACCCTTTTACATTTCATCATCATCACCACCCTTACTAAGCCCTCTGCAGGGCAAAGGTCTCTCCCATGTTCTGCCATTCAACGCTGTTCAATGCTTTCTGCTGCCACATTATACCTACAAACTTCTTAATCTCACATGTCCACCTAATATTCTGTCTCCCTCTTACGCATGAGGAGCGCGGGAGGGCGCCTACTAGTGTGGATGCACAAACATCGGCTCTTGCTTCAGTAGATGGTTTAAGCCCAAAAACACATAGCGTCTTCAGTGAATTCTTACACCATTTGACGCAGTTTGTCTAGAACACCACACCGATGGCAAGTTTGTGCCGGTGGGTGGCACTTGTGCCATTTTTCGGGACCTTTTCACTTCAAATCTGAGGCATGGTTGTTAGGCGCGTCGGGGTCTAGCTCTCGGACGTCGTCGTGTTGCTCCTAAGATTGTCCACGCATGTGATAGTCGAAAGGGAAGACATCACCACGAGGAGTGGCTGGAGTTGGAATAGACCCTGCCATTTCAAAGCGGAAGTCGCAAAGCCAGCGCGGCGTCAGCGGCTGAGAAAGTTTGGCAATGCAGCAGTGGACGCGGTGGGCCCCATTTCCCCGCCACCCGGGGTTGTCATGAAACGGCTTTCTGCTGCCTCTAGGCTCCTCCATCAACCAAGGGAGCACTTTAGAATCATAATTCGCTCCAGGGGCGGGGTGGGTGTCAGGAAGATCAGCCAGATCAAGGTGACACAGGCCCTCGTTATTGCAGCTCAACTTGCTCTGGCCAAGATTGAAGAAGTCTTTGTCTGTGCCACCATGGTTCAAAACATCTTTATTATTAGTACGCCAAGAGAAAAGGATACCCCGTGAAATTCGAAGCTTCTCTGTAGAGGGGGTTTGCCCAATTTGAAGTCAACTCATACCTCGAGGCGCCAGATAACACATGCAAAAAGATAATGCAGGGCGTTGGCTTCGGCTTTGACCACAATCAGCTATGGGACATAATCGTTAGCCAAGGAACCCTAAAGCCCTTGAAGTGAAACACAGCAGGGATACTACCATCATCATTGTTCTTTTTGATGGACTTGGAAGGCCAAACTATGCCATGTGCATCGCTAGCATACTTCGCTGTATGCCAGACAGATGTTTGCTGCACTTGCAGGAGGCTGGTCATCATGCCGACATGTGCCCAGCACCGGAGAGCACAATTTGCAGGGGATGCGGAACCACGTCTCACAAGAAGGCCACGAATGCTTGCCCAAGTGCGCTCTCTGCGAGGGGCCTCACCTCACTGCAGACAACGCTGTCAAGCAACGCTTTGAAGTGTTCTACGTGGGCCGCCGCAAGAGGAGGCAGTGGAAATGTGTCACAAAAAAACCTGCAACACCAGTGGCGTCCTGCTGCCAAGGTCATGATCCGAGCGTGCCGAGAGCTACTTCAAGAGGGCACTCGACCACGCTACAGTGGCTGGAACAGGAAAGTGTGATGAGCGGCAAGCAGGGCCTACGGAGCGCACTGAAGCCTCGAGGAGGAGCCGCGTGGGGGCGCGCGCAATCGTTTATATGTTGTTTGCACGTTTCTGACAATTTCGTTGGGCGCAGTTTGTCCTAGTTTTTTTTAATTGCGGTGGCACTTTGACACCAATGCTTCTGTATGCACTCTCATGGCGCGAAAACAGTCATTGCTTCGTCCCGGGGTTCGCTACAAGCTACAAGTCAGCTAAAAAGAAGCATGCGTTGTTCGGCGTTTCAAAGGACGGAGCTCCTGTTAGCGCAGTGGCGGAGAGTGATGCCAGCGTGCTGACAAGCTGCTTCAAAAAAACTCGGCTGTGTGCGAGCTGCACTTCAGCGAGAGGTACATCTCCCGGCACTTCGAGCACACTGTGAATGGCGAACTGGTCCGCATTTAAAGGGGTAGGCCCACTAGGTGTGCTTGCCGTTAGGGGGTGGGGCGAAAATTCATCGCAGGGCGCCTCCTCTCTATTAAATCAGTGTATGAGGCAGATTTTATGCCCCCCTTTAGATGACTAAAAGAGTGCCCCACTGCCTAGTTAATGTATAGAACAGATTTACTGCCCCCCTCCCAGGTGGCCAGCCCCTTTTGCCCCCTCATGCGGACGCCTATGGGTAGACCTTTCGGAGAAGCTCTTAGCACTTGTAGACATCTTTAAAATCACTTTTTCAAATTGGTTTAGCTACAACGAGCTTCACAGTGACAGCTTGGAAGAGCTTGTTTCCTGCCTGGAAAAAAAAAAAAAAAAGATGTCACACTGGGCTGCGCAAAACATGGTTCGAGCCTTACCAATCAAGTAAATAATTTTTTTTCTGCTCACCCATTTGCATTTTTACACAAAGGTACTCCACAAGGAGCGAGCATCTTCCCATGAAAAGAGGAAGTACCTGAAGCTCAGGCGCATCACCTAGGCTTGCAGCCTAATGTCCTGCGGGCCGCTTGTGAACTACAAAACATTTTAAAAACAATAGTCTTTCTTGGGGACCTTCGATGCAAAAGTTTTGGTCTGTCTCGCTGTCTGTCCATCTGTACGTTTGTGTGTTTGTCCACCCTTAACGGTTTCGGGTACTCTAAACGGCACCAGCGGATACCCCAAACGGCCGACCCTATTCACAGCGCCCGCCAATGTTGGTCAAGATTCAGCGTTTATGCTTGTCCGATTGTCAATTAAAAGCAATTGTAGTGTATATCTGAGGCATCATAACAACATGTATATATTCTGTATGTGCGTCTTTTACTAGAAAAGGCATACATTAGTAATTCGAAGGACCGTAGCGTTTTATCACGCAGTGTTGACCATGCAATGCTCGCACGAAAAAGCGAGTGTGTCCAACGCTTTGCTAAGACGACATGGGGGTGGCACCTACCCGTCGCCTTGCGTTATACACCTTATCACCTCTGAGACGGGCGCGCACGCCTGTATCAGAGCCGCACATTTCGTTTTACAAAAAAAACCGCCAGACAGCGCTCATGTCTCACGTGTGACGTGACTTGATGCGCTAGTTCGCCTCCGCTGCACGCTCGAGGCACTCTAACGCAGCACCTCCATAATACTGTTCACCAATTTTCTTGCTTAGAACATCAAATAAATGTTTTGTTCAGTCTCTCCACACGCAAGGCTATCATCTTTCGACAACATTCGCAGATTAACATGCAGATATGGGGCCATTTTTTTTTCTTGAGAATGAAACAGGAAGTGTGAGAAATTATTAAGAATGGATTGTTGTAAACATATAGTGAGCCACTACTCGGAAATGCGCTGTATGACCTGTGTGCAGAAAATAAAAGGTTTTCATCCAGATATCGCTCGTGATTCTCGTCTCTGAGTATGACGTTTTGAATGATGGGGCTTTATTTACAGATTAGTGCTTGAGGAAATGATGGTTCGCCATGGAAACTGTTGCAAGCAATGGCTTACAATTGAGTTCATTGTTCCACTCTTCTACCACTTCACATCGATAAAATGTCTCAGTGCCATCACGCACTCACTTTCGACATCCTGTCGACCTGACAATATTTCAGTTCAGTCGCGTACCCACGTAGGCATCCTGTTTACAGAAGCTAATTAACATATTTTCTCGGTCGGCGTTTGAGGCCATGCACGAGCAAAAAAATATATAATAAATTTTTCACATTGCCCGCGCACGTGGTTGATCACCGTCTCTGCACAGCGCATCGCCGCCTTGGGTGGCGTGCAAACGTGTGCTAGCGCCATCTGGCGCTTTTCTCCCAAGGCGGTACGTGCTAGCCGGCGCGTTCATCACACTTTCCTATTCTAGCCACTGTAACCATGCCAGCCGGCCATTAGAGCCAGTCCAGTGGATGCTCCTGCTCCATTGGGCGCTCGTGCTCTAGCAGGCGCTCTCGCTTCGTAGTTCGGACCAAGAAGACCAGCCGGGGTGATTGAGTCAAGAAGAAGCCTCCTAAAGGAACGAAGAGTTCGCCGCCAGAGAAGACCGATCCTAGTATCACATACTTAGAGATGGAGAACCCGCAGCTCAGAGCTGTGTTAGAACAGCTACGAGCACAGTTCGAGTCTTTTTGGCATATCGCATTTTTCAGTGTCAGGTTCCAGTAAGCTCCCAGGCAGGTGCATCGGCAACGATGCAGTCCCCTAAATAAATGCGCCCTTTTCACCCCTGTTGAATGAGAATGGTACCTTGAGGAATTCCAGAGTGAGATGATGAACTCCATGAAAGACGTTGAAGAATCGGTAAATATCCTTGAAGGCAGAAACGGTCATGTCCTTGGTAAAAATAGGCACTGCTCTCACGAGCAGGGTTGACAGCCTTGAAACTAGAGTTGTAATGTAATAAATGGAAAGTTGGGCAAGTTGGTTTGACGACATTCTTGGTAACATTTCGGCGCGCAGACAGTGGACAGAAGAACAGAAGGCTAGTAGACAAACAAGCGCGAACTCACTACTTGGTTTATTGAAAGAAATACACGATATATATATAGCCCAGAGTAGCTTAAAAGTGCATGTGCAAATAAAAGCAAAAGAAAGAACGATAACACACCATGACATTAATTTTTTTTACATAAGTGGTATCTGCAACATGCAGCAGATTGTAGAGGTCAAGTATGGCTCAAAAAGGTGAATTCCTTGTCAGTTAGTGCAATGGATGGGCTGCTTACGCATTTATCAGCACACCTTCTGATATGAAATGCTTCTACTAATTCCCGAGTTAGCTTGTCTTTGTGATTAAACAAAATGATCGTGTCACACAAAACAGGGTAACATTTGCAGCTGCTGCAATGCTCGGCTAGATGGGAGTGAATGCTATTTTCCAGAGATTTGAAATGTTCATTAAGGCAAGTGTTAATGCACCGGCCAGTTTGGCATATATATACATGAGCGCAAGTTAAGGGCAATAAATAAACTACGTCGATCCTGCACTTGACAAATTTTCCACATTCCTTTGCAAGGCAAACACATTTTTCCTTAACTTTGTCAAATTTTTTGTCCACTTCACGACAAATGCGTTGAACCTTATTAGGTGCTGCATGTTGTAGATACCACTTATGTAAAAAAGTCTGTGTCATAATGTGTTATCATTATTTCTTTTGCTTTTAATTCAAACATGCGCTCTCGAGCTACACTGGGTATATATTTCGTGTATTTGCTGAGTTTTGAGTTGGCACTTGTTTGTCTCCTAGCCTTTGGTTCTTCCGTCCCGTTCACTGTGTGCGCGCCGAAATGTTACCAAAAAACTAGAGTTGGTCTCAGAGACTCAAACTCTGTGTTTTTAGGCACAGTCAGAAGTGGTCTATCCTCAAAAGCGAAAGATTTACCCGCAGATCACCGTATGAAAGGCTGAGCAAAAAAAAAAAAAACATCACAGGTCGCGATAACAGATTCCTAATGTGGCAATGGCAATCTGCCGGGTTCATGCCAAAAACGCAGTCCTGCAGCAGTTTGTTCGTTCCCAGCGAGCATAAGCCGCACGTCATTCTACTGCAGGAAACTCTCAGGGGGCAGTTTCACTGCAGTGTTAGAAGTCTCACTCATTCTTTGGCGACAGAGGAAGAACATTTGCTTCTTTGTGTCTAGGCAATGTTCATTTGCTGCCAAAAAAATTTTAAAAAATGCGCAACTAGGAGGCTTTTCTTTCTCAGAAATCCGTAGGGATTTCCTTGTGACTTCGTGCTACAGGTGGGTGGTTGTCTTCTCTCCCTTCAATAACCCTTCCCCCCCTTGCGGGTTTCTACACAACTCATTTGCAATAACTCAGCACTTTTGGCCACGGCCATAGGTCGAAGAAACGTGTTATCCTCACTCAGTTTCGCTTATGAAATATATTTTGCTCTTGGGACTCACTCAGACTCGTCATATTCACCAAACATTTCTTCAATCGAACTCACTCACCAAAATTATTTCCAGGTGGACTCACTCGGACTCTCAGCTATATCTGAGTGAGCTGACTCACTAGTCGACTAGCCTACAATTTTACATTTAGTCTCATTTAGTCAATTTTACATTTAGTCTCATAACCACCCCTATTCCTTGCTTAAAATTATTGTTTCTCAGTTCTCGTTAATATTGCATTCAACAGAGAAAACGAGCCCCTAAATTAACAGTTCTTTCATTCATTCATGATGAGGGTCTCGTATCACAAAAGTTGACGCCTTCAGGTAGCATGTGAGGGATTTTCAGTGAGCTGCCAGCTTGTAATAAGACCATCTTCTACATGATTCCACCAGGCAGGAAAATGAGTGTTAAACAAGCACCACCATGGCTACAATCAGTGCGGACGGACACTTACTTCTAATGCACAGGTATACCCTATGAAGTTGACTCAAAGATTGCAGGTATAGTCCTGCTGGCGGCAAGTCACCTTTTTGTTCATTTTTCTTCACATTTGCATCATAAATAGTACATGTGACATCCGCTGTACTTTCATTGCCATTCTTGTCTGTTCTCATGAATATTGTGCATAATTGATCAAGCTAATCATATTGCTACATATCTGGTCACTAGAAGTAACTTCAGCTCTTTTGTAAGCATTTGAGTCAGAATGGTGCCGACATGACATGAGCTCAAGACGAGGCAAAGAAAGGTATGATATCCATAAAATGTTCAATTTCAGTCCACCTGCACTGTTGGCCTTTCTCATACAGCAAGAAATAAAAACATCACTTGGCAACTGTTTCTTTCTTCTCAGTGGCTGAGCAGCAGGAGCGTGCGTGGCCTGCCCCTGAAGAGCCATGCAATGCGGGTTACACACTCTCGCTGGGCTCATGTATGCGGCCCAGATGCTGGCTGTCCTTGCATTCTACCTGGATGTACCTCTGCCCCACAGCCTTTGCTACAGGTTGGCTAGATGATTGAGTTAGAATATTTAGCTTTATTCAGGTCCTTTGTTATCCTCTTGAGCGGCAGTGTGTACAATAGCACACATCAACTACGGAAGCGTGTCACGCGCTGCGTGATTCTAGAAGTCATTTGGAATGCTGTGTGCACATTCGCGCGCTCTTCCTGAGGCAACTAGTCACGCTCATTTAACTTTATTGTGTCGCTTATTAGCTGCAGATGGTCACTATGGAGACACTACTTCGTTTGATGATTGTGTGAAATGCCCCGTTCCAGGACCAATACCAATACCATATTTTTCCTTGCTCAAAACAAGTTCAACTAAAAAACATCCATTTTGCACCTATTTTCTTTTTTCATGCAAGAGTTGAAGGTTACTGACCGTAGAATAATGAGATATTTAATTACACAATAGTTACTGCCACTTGTTGAAGCTTGCACAAAGCACCACATATCCTCATTTTCTGTTCTGGAATATTATATAAGTGCCTCGGAACCATCTTGTGTTATTTTGACACATTTTGAAACAGTCCATCATAGTTTGTGCATGAAGGACTTATGAACAGTTTTCTGCGGCGACCATTGGTCGGTGAACTCACACATGATTCGACTCACTCAGACTCACTCAGACTCGGATCAAGCCGTGAGTCGGAGTCTCAGTGAGTCCGGGTGAGTAATATTCCGTGAGTTTGAGTCCAAGTGAGTCCGGGGGAAGAAAATTTTCGTGGGTTTGAGTTCGCGTGTGTTCGGCTCAGGAAAATTTTGAAGAGTCTTAGTTCGAGTGAATCCAAAGACCACAATATATTTCTTGTGTGATTCCGAGTGAGTTAGACTTGTTTTTGTAGACTTAAGGCGGCGAGACACAAGTGTGGCCACGTTTGATCACTTGAGTGTGATTAGCCTTGGGCCAACGAAACGGTTGTAACTGTTGGACACAAGCTGCTTGCAACATGGTGTAAGGAAAACATATGTCTATATTGCCACGAGCATGGAACGAGATCGGGCTATGCCACTATGTGGGTATGTTACTATGGTGGCGTACCCTTGCCCAGATTTGTAGTCGCTACTACTGGCCAAAGCTCACCCACGATGTCAAGCATCACGTTAAAACATGTAGTGATTGCCAGTGCCGTAAAGCCCCACCTGTGTGCCTCGCTGGTTTATTGAAGCCTGTTGCACCACCATCACAACCCTTCAAACAAATCGGCATGGACTTACTCGGGCCGTTTTTGAAATCACATGATGGTAACTTCTGGATCATAGTGGCTACTGACTATTTGACTAGGTACTGTGAAACGAAAGCCTACAATGAGGCACTGCAAATGATAAAATGATATGGCTTTAGTGCAGCTCGGTTTGAGCGTGAAGGAAAGATACTATACAGTCAAGAAAAGGAAAAAACAGACAACAGTGTGAGCGCTAAAGAGCTCACACTGTCGTTTACTTGAAGTTGTAAAAACCAAGAAAAATTTCAAGATGAGCGAATTTTCGAGCTGCGCAAATCACCGGAAAAATTGAGCGCTCTTTAGAAAAATCACTACTACTTAGCAGCTCTTCAGCAGCAGTTTCTAATGTTTCTTCTCACGAAAGTTTAAAAGAGAAAAAAATTTCACACAAGGGAAGTTGATTGATTGATTGATATGTGTGGTTTAACGTCCCAAAACCACTATATGATTATGAGAGATGCCGTAGTGGAGGGCTCCAGAAATTTCGACCAGCTGGGGTTCTTTAACGTTCACCCATATCTGAGCACACGAGCCTACAACATTTCCGCCTCTATCGGAAATGCAGCCACCGCAGCCGGGATTTCATCCCGTGACCGTCGAGTCAGCAGCCGAGTACCTTAGCCACTAGACCACCACAGCGGGGCGATACAAGAGAAGTTAACCAGCTGGAATTTTGCTAGCACTGCCATTTTATTTAGCAAAGAAAAACCCACAAATGCTCGTCTGCTTTGCGGTTGTGCTCGGGACTAAGAAGGGGTGCGTCCTCCAGCTGCTCTTGCATCGCATCAGACGATCTTCTCCGCCGCTGCACTCCACCTTATTTCAGAGCAAATGCAGCAAATTTCTTGTTTCTGCAGATGTCAGCACCTATTGAGGTGGTTTCGTCATCGACGTCGTCTCCGCCGCGCCTTATATTATTGGCCCTTTGAACAATTTTCGGCGTCTGTCATTTCTCCGGTCACCTGGCACATCCTTGCTCGCACAGCGTATACTCGTTAAAAGTCACGTCATTTTCGGCGGCACCGTTACCGGCCTCCTTTCTGCACTTCCTTAACTAGGGCAACCTTCCTTTCTAGTGTTAGCGACTTGCAATGGTTTTGCTGACGCCATGCTTGCCGCACTCACGCTTGGTCAGCACTCCTCAAGGTCAGCATTAAATCTGTACCGCGTGCATTGCGCAAATTATACTGAATGGAAATCACACCTTAGAAAAACAGCGAGCACTGCCAAACGAATGAGAAAAATGACGAGACCGCCAAGCGTGGGGCAAAGCGAGGCCTACTGCGGGTGAGTCACATAATCTGCCACAGGGTTGCTCGACAAAGTTGGTACGTCGCTAAGCCTAGACTTCACGTTCGCGGAAAGTATTGACGTAGCGGCAGGCGCAGCTAAATAAGAAATAAAAAGTAAAAATTTGAGGGATTTCAGGCGTAGCAGCATCGTGCGAATCTTGTGTAATGGCTCGGTGGCGGAATTTTTTTTTCCACTTCCACTCAAGATTTCGAGATATTCGCAATCCGATTCAGAAATACTTTGAGATAAAGGGAAAAAAAATACATGGAATGTAATGGACAAGGTTCGGTGCCTGCGGAAAATTTTCACTTAGCTGATTTTTCGAGATATGCGAGTTCGAGCTAACGAGGTATTACTGTACGTTAATCACGATCACAAGAACTGTGATAACATTCAACCATACGTTATGTTCGCCTACAACACTGCGATTAAAGAGACTTAAGGGTTCACCCCTTTGCGATTGCTTCACGGCCAAGAAGCAATCATGATGCTGGATGACATAAACGATGTTACAACTGATGCAAAAGATTTCATTTGGCTCACGAACGTGGCCTACAAGCTTGCAGTCTAGTGGATCCAAAAACAACAACGCATCGACTCACAGAGGGACAATTCTTGTCATCACCATGTGATTTACCAACCCTGTGATGTAATGTGGCTGTGGATTCCCTTGTATTAAAGGGGCCTCGTGGAAAAGTTACTTCACTGCTACTTCGGTCCTCATAGAATTTTACATCACCTGATTGACGTCAACTACAAAGCTCAGCTTGAAGTAACACCCAGGCGATCGCGCCGTTTTCAGAAGGCAGGCATTGTTCATGTATCGAGAATAAAGCCATATTATCCCCCAGCAACTTGACAATGCTGCACCATGTGTGTTTGTGTTTGTGGGCAAGTACTGTCTGTTCTAATAAGCATGGAGCATCGTGATGGTCTATTAACACTTTTTTTTGGGAAGGGGGTAATGCCACAGGCATGGAACAAGATTGGGCTATGCCACTATGTGTATATGTGCCTTGGTGAGAAATAAGGGAGGCCAAAGAAGAAGACTAGATGATGAGCTCGTGTCTCTGGTGATCGGATGGACAGAAAAGATTATCAAAAAAAAAAACAACCCTGCAAGGCCACCAGCCCAGGCTCGGGCCACCCAGGCGTTTTGTGCGGTGAGGCATAGCCTTTCCACCGCTGTCCGGGCCCACTGGACTGCCGACAGTTGGTCGTGCAGATCTGAGCTAGTCAGCGCACTTAGCCAATGCTCCTCGAGAATGTCCGGTTCTGTACTGTCCTCTTGGTATATTGCCGTGAGCTGTGTGCATTGCCATAGAATATGTGCCATATCTGTGTGTTCGTGCCTACAGAGGGTACAGCTTGCTTGTGGGTATCGTCTGGAATTTACTCTGTTCAAGTGTACTGGATTTGGAAAGGTTCTGGCTTGCATTCTTTGCCAATACGTTTCTTGAGATCAGTCGAGCTGTTTGTGTGGTGGGGGATATTCTTTTTGTTGTTGCTTATAGGGTGCCAATATGTCGTGGTACGTTACCAGTTTGTCTCTGTTGTCTCGTATCGCATATAAATCATTGTCATCACCTCCATCGTCTTCATCGCCTCCACTGGAGTCGTCCCCCATTCTGTCGTGGGTGCGGGGTGCCGGGCCATCGCTGTACAAGCCGTGGTGGGTCAATTCTCGCACGGTTCGGTGGGCCTTCTTGTTGAGGTTTGGAGGGATGGTTGTGTCTTCAATCTTTCATTCCCCTATATGCGCCGGGATCCACTTGAGGTATTTGGGTATAATTTTGCCGTTCCAGAAGTCTGCTCTGGGGTTCAGGATTTTGTCTGCTTCGGTAGAGACCCATCCCTTTGTGAAATTCCTAATGGCCATCTTGGAGTCACTGATTATTAATCTGTTGTGTTTTTCGACCATTGATTACGGCCAGTGCAATGGCAATTTCTTCCGTTGCCTTCGACGATCTGGTCTTTACAGAGCCCGCGATCACGGTCTTCTCTTTTGTGTCTATGATTGCTATTGCGAAGAAAGAGCCACGCACAACCCTATTACTGATGTCATTAGTTTGGGAATACCGGGCGGCGTCAACAAAAAGCACTTCCTCCTGCGTGCCGTGATTTTTATGGATCATTTTCGTGCGGAATTTTCGTCTCAACGTTGTGTACAGGGTGCATATTTTTTGGGATGTTTTCCGTAGTTATCATGGACCTGACGTCCGGGTGAATCTGCATCTTGGGACCTTTCATTCCGTGGTAATTAATAGAGATCTTTTCCATAATTGTTCTACCTGTCATGGTTCCAGACAATTGTTCGAGTTGCGCTATCCTCTGTGCTTCAGCGATCTCTTCCAGCATGTTATGTACTCAGAGTTGTAGCAGCCTTTCGTTCTTTGTGTATTGCGGTAGACCCAGCGCAGCTCTGTACGCTTTTCTAATCAGCGCGCCGACTTTGTCCTTCTCGGCCTTGCTTCAGTGGACG